GTAAAAACATGCTTGTTTTTTCCTGCCTGCTTCTCGTGGCTCTCCCAGCCTTAGGGCCTGGGTTCATTCTGCTTGATTTGAAGAAGGAAATCCAAATGTCTCATTTAAAAGTCTGCTCTGGATTCAGGGCCAGCACCCACGCTCTGCTAGCAGGGAGCACATTCAAATCTTCATTTTTCAGAGCTGCCCTCTTCAGCTCCAGAGCCCAGAGTGCCCCTGGAGAGCTCTAGGAGCAGTCACTCACTGTCAGCGTCCCCAGACTCTGATCTGCAGAAAAGATACATCAAATTCTCACAGAAACCTCTGGAACATTCTTTAAGTTGGGTTTTAATTGCTGCAGAGAACCATGGATAGGAAAAGTATCAGAGAGCTAAATCCTAAATCTCCTATCTTTTAGATCAGGAATTGAAGAAGAATCAGGTAACATTATCAAATTGCAGAAGGGTCTTAGGGAAGCACAGTGGGATTCCCTTACACTGTTATCTGAATAAATACTAAGCAAAGAATACTCCTAAAGATATGACATAGGAACTTAAATTGATGTAAATAATTGCAGCATCACTTCCAGATTTTGTCAAGAAATGCTACCTTTAATATTGATAAATGTAAATAATAGCCATAATGTTCATAAACCTGATCAATTCTTTTCCAATAGAATGGTTTTTAATAGATTAGAATAATTTGAAGGAAATGCATTATCTCGTGAGCATTTTGAAGGGGAAAATTATAGAAGCATTACATTCTCAATTAATTATGTATTTGTTGATAAGTGATATATAGGCAACATTTATTTTAGAAACTGTAAAAAAATCCAATTTGAATGGTAACAGGTATTTTAGAATTTCTCTTCAGGCAGACATTCTTTATGAGACTCTTGTCTCCTAGCACTCAGAAAGGCTGTGTGACTTATATATACTTAATTAGAAAAAAACATCTGTGGAGATCAATTAAATTAGAAATGCATAAGTAGAACTTTAAGGGAATTTGATAAAGTTTTAGGGAATAAGTTTTTTGATGAAGTTTTTACTCCTTTACAAGAAAGGAGATAAAATAATTCTCATCTTCAGTTCAACTCTGGCTTTTCACAGCTCATCTCTGGAAGGTTCTGAGTGTGGCACATGCATTGACAAATGCTCTGAGGTATTAAAAATCTTAACAACTTGATATTTGTATACCCAGCTACTGAATCTGAGTAGTAAAGGGATCAGTGAGGTGCAATTTCCTATGGCTGGGTCATGCTCAGTCCTCATAAAATTAGGCATCAGAATTCTTATTTGCATTTATTTAAAAATAAGTGCTAGAACATAAAATAGTGTCAGAGGTACTGCACCGTTAATGTACTCTGTGAACTGCTGAAAAATTGTTCTATAACAATAATAGCACTCGAGTCTAAACTTTCTTTTAACCCTTTTGAACTTAGAAAACTCCCAAGGTAATCTGCATTCTGAACTAACTGCAAAATACTTCCCTAACTTGCTTCCATTTTGTGTCAAATAACCTGAAATAATTTTAAAATACTTTTGCCACTTTTGGGGGGTTTATTAATACGTTCCTTCACGTGCTACCTTGTATCATATCTCCTCATCCCTTTGGAAATCCAAAAGAGGAAAATGTCAGAATTTATTGTAAATGGGCTCACACCAAGCTTCTCTCTGACCTCAGGCCAAAGGAATTCTAGTTTGAACCGTGCTAACATTAAAAGTGGAAGCAGAATTCTCCCAATCCCAATATCAAGCCCCCTCAAACATCCTCAGTGCCATCTGAATTTTCTGTGCTCATCTTGCAGTCTGACCTTTACATGAGTAGACAGGTGGGAAAATACGAGTTTCCTATCAGCTCCCTAAAGACCTCCTAATCTGAACAGACTCTTCTGTGCCACCTGTGCCACCAGAAATTCCCCCTTTTATGCACAACCGATTTGCATTTAAACAAGCTTTAATGAGGCTACCTGGCAGGTAGGTGAAACACAGTATAAAATTATGGGGTTTTTTTTTCATAGGTAGTGCTCAGAATTCAGTATTTCTCCAGAATTTTTTTGCCAAATATTCGTGATTTCCAAATTTCTGTTGTAAAGTGGCATCAGATGGTGTGGAGTTGAAGGAATCCTGTTTAATTAATCCCTGGATCAAATTCTAAGGGTTGTTTTATAGCTCTGTGCTCTCACGAACCTAATTCGGTCCAAAAAAAAAAAATTCAATTGAATATTTGGACTTTGAAGGACTTTTATTCCAGGAATATAACCATTTCAGAACCTATGGCTTCCACAAAAGCCTGTGCCACAATTTCATCAGGGGCTGTATGGAAAAGGCCTTCTGGGTTTTGCTGGGTGTGGAGTTTAAAAATGTTACTTGTTAAATTTGTCATCACTTGGCATTTAATAATTATATCTTGGGTTACAAGAAAAAGTAATTTTAGAACGACATTCAGGATTCCCATCTCCTACTTCTTCAGTTGTGAAAATCACTTTAAAAATATTTGTCACTTTTCCCTGTGGCTTTTCTGGCCTGACAATGATTTTTTTTTTCTCTGCAGTGAAGCACCCAGAACTGCTGTTGGTATCAAAATTGGGAATGGTATATTTTCATTGTAATTCCTAATACCCCTTTGGCTTTCTACCCACTGTTTAAAAAAAGCATTTTTAGAGGACTGAGTTATATTTTAGAGTCTGAGTTACATTTCCTGCCCTAATTTGGAGCATGAGTATGCTTATGTGAAATTAGAGTTGTTTTCCTCTGCGTACATAATTCGCTTGCATCAGCATTTAATCTCATCTCCCATTTTATTGTCCAGTCATGCAGCATCATGCAAGCCTTCTGTTCATTGTCAGAGTTAAATTTGCATGAAGGGTAATTTCATATCACTGGCAAACATTACAAGAAATGTTTACTGGTTTTGTTTTGTTCTGTTTTTTTTAATTTGGCTTTTTGTCTGTAGTGTAAATCTAAGTTTGAGCTAATCCTACACAAACAGCAGTGGAATAGAATATATGCAAATAAGTAATAAGTGATACTATGGGATAAAAAAGGGAATTTTTCTATTATTGTTTTCTACTGAAATGTCACATTTTTTTATTGTCCATTTGCCCCATTGAAACTTAGTGTTTTCAAATTGTGGATTAAAGGACTTTAGACATTTTTATCAAGAGGTTGATTATGGAGATGTTATTCCAAATACTTGAAGAAGTTATGTTTGAGATGAAGTGATTTAAGACACACTCTAAATAAAATGAGAGTTAATAAAATAATAATGTTACTGGAATTGTGAAATTGATCCAGAAAATGGCCCCTCACTGTGGTTTTCCCCCTTCATATTTGCAAGGATAAGAGGCACTACAAGGGTGAAGAAACAAGCTGAAAATTTTACCTTCTCTATTTCAGAATATTATCAATATGTGTTTGAATGCAGAAATTATTAAATGAAAGTCTGTGGACTGCTTTTGGTAATTAGTTTATAATAATCTGGTTTCTATAATATACACATATAACAGCACCATGTGAGCCTCCCTGTTTAGACAGTGCTGTAAATCTTCCTGTTTCAAATAATCTCAAATTCCAAAATTTTGAATAACCATTCAAACAGGACAACTCCAACTCTAAGGAGCTGAAGGGATGCTAATTTGATCATAGTAATAACTGTTTTCTAACTTCTAATTTCTTATCCTTTTTGCAAAGGAAAGAAATTCAGTGCTAAAATGAAGTTCCTTTTATTTGATCAGAGATTCAGCTGCTTTGCCAGAGATGGTTTGCTACTGAGTTCTCCAAATAGATCCTGGATTTGAACAGTCAATGAACCAAAGTCCATGGAAGTCAATGAAAAGAAAACCTCTTGATTTTTGTGAGCTCTACTTCAAGGTTATGTGAGAAGTGTGGACAGTGGAAATGGGAGTTTGGACTTACTGAGCTACAATGTTGTATAGTACAATATTTAAATTTCACTCTATTCTTTTTTTCACATTTTGGGAAGCCCATAAATTTGCTAAATAACGTTGAACTAGCAGCATGTATATTAGCAGTGTATCTTTTTTTTTTTTTTAACTCTTAAAAACCAAAAAGAAATCCAGTAAAACAGTGTGAAGGGTTTGCTCAGCAGCTCGCTGGATCTGATGTAAAGTGTATTTTCACACTTTGGAAAGTGGGAACATCAGGCATTAGATCAGAGGCTGAGTGGTTATCACAGGGATGACAAGGTGGGATGGCTGAGTGGGTACACACCAGTGGCTTGGCTTTTAGAATTCTGCTATGCTACAAGTGAAAAAGATGAGATAATAAAGGTCTACAAAATTTCTGTCAGTCTGTGCACCCTGGTGCAGTCAGCATTTTGAAAGGATGATATTTCCCTGCAGTGTGCAGAGGCTGAAAGGCATCTGAATATGAAAACCCTTTCTAAGGTTCTGTCTCCTCTCAAAGCTTTCCCCAGCCTTGATGTGACATTTATTGTGTGCAGCACCCTGGTCCAGCACAGCAAAGCTGCTCTGCACGGATTAAACACGGATCCAGGGCCTTTGCTAGGCTCAGAATAAAACATCTCATGGAGAGAATTTTTAGCCTTGCAGCAGCCAGGAGCTTTTCTTCATTCAAGAGCACAGCCCCAGTGTTCCCAAGGACATGGGAATGCCACACCTCAGATTTGTGTAAGCCTGCACAGAACATTTACATTGCCTCTGCTCCAGCCAGTGGGCTGGGAGAGTGCAGGTGAATAATATGAAATTTATTACGAACAGGAGTTTATTTCATATCTATGACAATATGAAGAGGAAGTAATGTTTCCTTGAAGTACAGAAGTATAGACAGATCTATGATTTAAAATGATTCTGCATGGCAGCACTCTGAAGTCACTGTTGCTTTTCTGTTATTAAAAGAACCCAATATACAGCGTTTATGTTTTATTTTGCTCTAATATTGCAGAGTATAGATGCAGTTTAATCTTACAACTTACCCTGGCCTTTGTATACAACGCAGTGTGTGCTGGTATGTACATAATTTTAAAATGAAACAACTTACTTGCTCTTTATTTTTATTTTATCATTTACCTACAGAAAAATTTTACCAAAGCAAAATTATACACTGTAACACTGCAGGAGAGGGAAGGGGGAAAAAAAAAAAAGCAAAAAAAAATCCAACAAACCAACCAGAGGGCAGAATGCTGTTTACCATTTATCAGAATAAATGCAAACCATAATTCTTAACTTCAGGTCATTTTGGTCTTTTGTTTAGAATTCAGTCTAAATCTACACTGCAACAAAATAAAAATGTATTCTTCAAGACTGGCTCATTTCTTCTGGTGTAGGTAGCTTATCAAGTGCTCCCACCTCTGCAAAATAGGGGAAAAAAAGATAATTAACACAAATGTAAGTATGCATATTTATCTTAGTGATGAAACACAGTTTCAGCAATATAATTTTTTAAATACTTTTCTCAACTATAAGAGACAAATCTCTGAACTTTTCTTAATTTATAAAATGCTGGAGAATTTTCTTTTGAATGCCCATAATATCTTCCTGATACAATTTCAACATTTTAGAAACAGCAGTGACAGAACCACAATTATATTAATTTCATTATGTCAATTGATATTGCTGGATCCCAGCATCTCATTAGGCTTAATATTATCTGGTTACAGCTGCCATCCTACTTGTTGCTCTTTATGAGAAGCACTTAAAGCTGGAAGGAATCATTTCCAAGAGAAAGAGATGAAGGCCACTTTTAGTTATTACCAAGGTACTTCTTAGCAGTGAAAATATTGCCTTTTTCTTGCAGATTTAAATGTTTGTCTAATCTGAATAACCATTGCCTGAATCTGAACCCCATGAGTGAGGCTTTTCCCCCTTTCCCCACCACGGGACACATCTAAACCAATGTATTTAATGCAGAAAGGTTTCATTTAAGCAGATGTGTTAAAGGATTTCTATCATTAAAAAATAAGGTTTTCACCTAATTAATTTAGAGTTCTGGGTTTGTGTAAGGGTTTGTACTAAGCCTTTCCAATAAATATTGTTAAGGGATGATCTGTGAAAACATTCTGTGCCTGTTGCAACCTGGGAATACAAGAACTGTATCTGGAAAAAGCCAGACCTGGAGATTCATTTTTGTTTCTCATGAGGACATGGTAATACCACCACCTTTTCTGAAGAAAAAAACAACTGTGAGTCATCACTGTTCTAAGAAGGGAACCCTTTTAGTTTAGTTTAGTTTAATTTAGTCCATTTGTTCCAGGGAAGAAGTAGTTTGTAGTTCTGTGAGATACTTTTTATTTTCTTGTCTGATTTAGCAGCTTTTAGCCGACACAGAGGGGGTGTGTGCTTGGATTTAACTTGTTTTACACCCTTTTTGCTGTGTCCAAACATTGATTTTACTTCCTAGGCTCACACAGCAGAGTAAAGGAGTGTTTTGATCTCTTTCTTCACAGTGGTACAACAAATAAACTGCTACTTTGTCCACAGTAGATAGATATGCTAATAATCTACTTTAAATATGTATTTGAATTATTTCAGGCCCTTAGGACTAGCTATAAAGAGGTTTTGTTTCCAAATGCAAATTCAATTCAATAAACACTGGGCTCACATTTTCAGTAATGAGAATTATTTTCCTTGGGTGGATACAAATAATTCAGAAAACAATGAGTAAAAAGCATCCCAAGTATGCAGAAAATGAACCAATCAGTTGAAAGTCTCTTTTAATAATGGAATTAAAACATAAATGTACACACAGGTCCACAGCATACACTTGCCACAAAGTTGTTATAATTTGTTGTGTACAAAAGTAAGAATATAGATGTTAGTGATTTGTTAAATTGTCTGCTTTGTGAGACAGAAAAAACCCTCAATCGTTTGCAGTAGAATAACTTTTTTCTACCTGTTGGCTTCTTTGCAACTACATATTATGGTTTTATACATTGTGTAGGCAGTTTTAGAAGAGGATTTTAAAAGCTGGGCATTGTGGGGTTTGGGGTATTTTTGAAGCAGCAAACCTAATGAAAACTCAACAGCAGACAAATTTCTTTTTCACTGAATTCCACAGCAAAGTTACAGAATCCTCGGGAAGCCCAGCGTTACAATTCTTGTCACAGCTGCGAGGCTGTGCAGAGTTTTTACTCCGGAGCACCCTGAGCCTTCGTGCTGTTGCAATTTTATCGTGGAACACGTGCAAGAAGGGAGATGCATTTCTCTGGTCACTAACAGGGGATGCAATGGTACCAGAGCTCTGCTGCATCACATCCCCACCGATTTCTCAGGAGCACCTGCGCCCTGTGTGTGTGAGTGATGCCACAGGTGCTGCTCCCAGCCTTGCACACCCAAAGCTGCAGCAGATGTGCACACTGAGGCATGGTCTGGTCCCCGCAGTAAATTTCCTAGCGGGAACTGTGAAAGATTAAAAGGTATTCACTCACCTTTCAGGTGCAAGTAAGTCAAAAATTCGATTATTGTGCGCACGATGTTTTCGTCAGCCACGGGTCTTCCGAGGCTCCCTGTGAAACAAACCGGTTGTTACTCAGAGTTAATAAAGTGCAAAGACACATCGCATGAAATAGCGTGGCAAAGTTTATGACCACTCTGGGGACAGGAAAAAAAACCCCCAAAACTATCTGAAATTCCTTTTTCCTTAAAATCCTTGATGGAAAAACCTCATTTGACGGGAAGGCAAAGCCCCCATAAGGCAGGTAAGTGCAATTCCCAGGATAAAAACCAGCCAGCTTTGTATGCCACTGCTTGGACACCTTCATGGTTGTGGTCTCTAAGCCTGATGAGATCTGCTCCAACCCTCTCCCTTCGTGTCCACCTGAGCCTGCAGGGATAGCTTAAATCTAAAATTCAGCAAACAAATTCAGCACCTTTACAGAACAGTTAGAAGTTCATCCACGTAGCCTGACTTTGTTCCAAATAAGCCTTTCAAAGGATCTAGGAGTGATTTGTGGCCCAAAACCTGGGCCTGGGTGTTTTTCTACAAGTCCAGAAAGCCACGTTTTTACATAGGTATCTAATGTAACACACTTGCCTTCAAGCTTATGAAAATAGCTTTTTGAGGCTCTCTTAATGGCCTAATGGGTGCTTGGAATTGCACTTTTGAGAAGCATGCTTTCTGCATGAAATGAGAAAAATGAGAAAAAAGAAATCAGCAGGGAGTTGGAAGAAGACACCTTGCTATTTTTAGGAGGATAGAGAACACCTCTCTATTATGAACAAATGCTAAGTAATTTCCCCAAGATTTTTAATTCTCTGCACACAGATGTGGGTACCAGATGTAACAGTCCATTGTTACACCACTGAAAACATTATCAGATGGGTCAGAAGGCAGACTGAGCTCTGTAGAACAAATTTAAAACATTGATCGGGGTTGCAAGGGGCACAGAGGTTTCTGGTACAAGGAGAATAAGCATTTAATAGGCTTGCACTTAAAAATCTTGTCTTCCAGTCTTTGAACTCACACAAAGATGTCATTGTTATTTGCATTAATAATACTTTTTTGTTTGAATGCTTCCTTAACTTTTATACCCACCAACCTGCTATGGATTTTTTTTATTATTATTATATTAGTCACACTTTTACCCAGATTTTATTATCCATGTGATATTTATTGGATAAATATTATTCCTCAGTGACTAGGAAATACTGTATTTATGTATTGCTCTGCTATTGACCTGAATTCTGCATAGTGGCTAACTTGCAGATTTCAGTAAACAAACTATTATGATCTTGTAACTGGAAGATTTGACTGATTATGCTCAGAGATAGTTGTAGTTTTGTAGTGGTTTTTTTCCCCTGGACTTAGTGTTCAGTCCCTAATACAGTTTGCAGATTTTTTCTAGCTTATCTGGAGAGCTTATGAATTTTGCAGCATTCCTTCAAGGAGAGCACAGTCCTTTGCATTAACTTTTACATTGTTTTTGACTGGCCATATATTGTTTTAACACCAGCTTTTTTTCCTTAAAAACCAACAAACAAACCAAAGCACAGCACCAAAAAAAAAAACCCCACACACAAATCTCTGTAACTGTGTATCAGAACTGTGTAATCAGTCCTTCAGAGAGTGTTAACAATTCAGAAATGCATTTAATGTTTCTCTTCTCTTTAAGTATGAATGTATGAGATTGTAATTAAGCACATGTCCTTTATTTATGAACTTATTTAGTGTTAACTACATTTGTGCTGTACTGGGTGCATTTAAAATAGGCTCCAAAACCTTTTTTCCCCATTTAGTGCAGTGATAAATGTACTCACTAAGTCCTGTGGTCACTTTTATCAGCCTCAATGAGGATGAGATTCATCTCAACTCAATTTTACATGTCTGCAGCGGGTTTAGTTTCTCCTCAGGAGATAAAACGGGTTTTACTCGGAGTTTCTGCACCTTATCCTGAAATAGGTGTTCAAAATAAAGCCTAAAATTTGCCAGTTTCTCTTCATGAAGGAAATCTAGACATGTATTTTAGAGGCCCAGCTTTGGATGGCAAATCCAGAACAAGGCTGCACCCTTTTCATTGCCATGTACTAAATTCTGGCACATGCAACATCTGAGCATTTTGACTTCAGTTGTGACCAGGTTCTAAACCTTTTAATGAAGATAATCCAACTTGCTTAATCATAGGAAATGCTGGGACTTTGTATTTTTTATAGCCTTAGCTACTGACAGCCTTTATGGATTGTCTTCTTTGCCAAAAAACAATTAACTCTGGAGTGGCTAGAGTACCATTGGAAATACTTGTTTGAACATATGAAAAGAGAAGAAAAACAAAGTTTCTTCAAAGCAATGTGGTCTATTACACATTTAAAGCAACAAAATTATGACACATTTTCCTAGTCTCTTAGATATTGTAATCCATGACCATAGAAATATCACACTGAATGGTCAAATGTCATTTTTCTTCCTTTCATATGTTTATTAGGATTTCTGTTGAAATGCAGAAATAGTTTTGTATCCAAGTAGTGAGTTCAATAGTAAATAAAGTACTTAATATAAAAAACAAATCAAAAATGCTGGTTTCCAGACTTTCTTTACCTGCTTTAATATCTTCATCAGGTGGTATTTCACGTTTACCAGTGAAACCATGCTTGTCATTAAAAGATCTGTGATTATCTACTGCATCTGATAAATAAATTAAAAATCAGAGGAGTTAATTGACTTAGCAACAACCTTTTGGTTTTCATGGATTTCAATGAAAGTATCATGATGGGCAGTTTTGATGTACAAAATCACAAAGTTGATATACAAAGAAGTTAATGTGTCATCGAATACAATAACGTTTCTTCCAAATTTGTGCCTATGATTTATCTAAATTACAGACCCAGTCCTGTGCTACATACTTACTGAAACTATTACTGGCTTCAAAAGTTGTAAAGAAAAAATGTAAGGGTATATCTGCATGTAAACTGGGAAGTTGTTCTTCCTAGTCTTTCCTCTCTCTTTAAGAGAGTGTTGCTAGTGAGTGGACTCAAAAAAAGCTGCAGAAAATTTACATTAACAACCTCCAGAAACTGTCTCACATGCCCCTGGTGCTTCTTCTCCCCCCCTTTGCAACAGGCATTTCCTTTATCAGTAAAAGCTGATCAATATGACCTGCAACAAAGGATGATTCCTATTATCCTATTATTCCTAATATCCTATTATATAAAATATAAGTCTTTGACAAGCACATTTTCCCCCAGTATTTTTCCCCACTTTGCTTAGATCTGCTTTGGGCAAATATGCTTCCAGATATTTACAGAACCAGTTAATACATTTAAGATGCATTAAGCTTCTTTTCTTTTTTTTATGTATCCTTATTGTTAGGTAAAAAGAATGAAGAGTGTCAAAGTATGTGTAGTATTTGTGTGTTACTGAGACTGAAAATATAGAAACATTGGTGATTAATTAACAAGAATTAATGGTAAAAGGACAAATATTGGAGACTGCTTAGTTCTGCATTACTTTTCTTACAACCTGCATTTTTATCTCCACCTGTACCTCCACTTCTGTATTTTGAATACCTTATATATTGATTTTTTTTACATAGGGAACTGTTAACAACCTTGAGTTTGCAAGTTGCTGTTTTAATTTATTTTGCTTTAATTTTTCTTTTAAAAAATGTGGTATAATAAAGTGAAGTAGTGAAAGTTTTTAAAAAGACTTATAGGTGAAATCTGAAATACATGGAGAAATGCTAATGCTACATTTTGTCATTCTGCCCTTGACATCTAAGATGCTGTAAGATTTTTAACTCTTGCGGTGGTGATGTGTTTGACATATGAAAATTACAGTTCAGAAGCACAAAATATGAGCAGATATGTTTCTGGACATAAGGCCTCCCATCACACTTCTTTAGAAAAGAACAGCTGCTGTCTAAGACAACTCAGTTCCATAAGCATATAGCAAACATCTAAACAAGTATTTTCCCTAACGAGCTTCTTCAGTCTTGCAGGTTTAGACAAAATTGCTATATTCAGAGAAGTGAATAACACAATTTTTGCATTTTGAAATAATGAAAAAAAGGTGCCTCACTTACGTGGCCCAAGCAGATAACCAGCACTATTCAAAGTCCAGCCCCTTTTGTCTTTTGCCTTGAAGAAAAAAACAAGTATGTTACTGCACGACCTACACTCAAAAGGACATTATCTTAGCAGAAAGAGTCTCCTGAAGGCTCAAAACCAAGAAAAAAAATATTTTAAATGTAAAGCAAATCATATTGAACTAAATATTCATGGCGAGCTCCTGCCCCCTCCCTATGTCTGTAGTGTTGCTATTGACAGCCATGTGATTTAATGGTTTCACACCACAGAAGTGGTGACTGCAAATCACACTTTGGAGGCAGAAATGTCGACTTTATGTTTGAAGTTTATATTACCACCTGATAGGCACCCTAGCAAACCGCACTGCTGCTTTCTATTGCTTGGGTTTACATGACAGCCTCTTCCTGAAAGGAGTCCCTGTGTACCTCATCTTTTCTGAGGCTGTTCAGTTTTAGTCAAGCAACTAGATATTCTTAGTCATGGTCATTTTTTACAAGAGAGCTAGTATTTAAAATCGACAAATTCTTAGCTGGAAAAAAAAAACAAAAAAACCCGAACTGTTTATAGCCCTGTTTTGAGAGCTGCATCCTTCGCAACCCCTGCCTCTAAGAGCAGCGTGTATCCGTGGGATGCCCACGGCTCCTCGCCAGCTCAGACACAGATACTTACTGAGAAAACCAGCCCGAGCGTTTCCGAGAGGGCGGCACAAAGGATTAAAGACAGAAACAGGAGACCGGTGCACCTCTGCATCTGCAAGAAACCGCACCGGGGTGAAGGCGCTGCCTGCCGCGGGGGGGAAGCGGGGGCGAGCCGACCTGCTCCCCGCCGGGCAGGGCAGCCCAATTCCCGCTGGGAGAAGGGCCGGGGGCCGGGGTACCTTGCTCCGGGGCGGCGTGTCCCTCGCAGCGCTGGCCGGAGCGGGGCTGCAGCCACGGCAGCTCCGGCTGCGCGGCCGCGCTTTATGCGCCCAGAGCCGCCCCCCGCCTGCCCCCGCCTCCCCCGGGACGCGGCCCCCTCGCCAGCCGCCGCCTCGGCAAGGGCACACGGCACGGCAATCCCATTAGGGACGCTCGGGAGAGACGCGAGAGGAGCCGGGAGAGGCAGCGCGGGCATCGCCCCTGCCCCTGGCAGCGCCTCCGGCCGCCCGCGGCACCGGGGACAAGGGGGACAGGGAATGCGCGTCACTTGTGAGAGTGCCACGGATAGGGGTGAGACAGGGAATGCACAACACCTGTGAG